CCTCATTCCTCTCACGTTTGTGATTACTTTTGTCCTGAGTTGTAGACTTTCTTCTTTTATTTTTCCCGATTCCTTGTCATTGGTATCTATCTGGCCAGTTTGGTGGTCAAGACCTTTTCCTTCTATTTCCCCTATATCGTGTTTTTCATCTTTTTCTTTCTACTCTTCTGGATTCCCTCTCCTACTTCCCCCTTTATCTGAGGCACTTCTTATGGCTTCTGTAGACATTCATTCCATTGTCCCTCTGTACTTTGTTCCTCTGCTGTTGGAACTCATTGGGTAAGGTTACATTCTTCTTTACTGTATCCCTTCCTTCTTCTTGTGTACTTATTAATTGCATGTCTCTCTTCCATCACCCAGATGTCTTTATTGGTGTTCCTTTCCCCCTGCTGACATGGTCAGATGTTATAAAGACTTCTGTCCTCCTTATCTTCCCAGGTTTTTCCTCTTTCTTGATCTTGCCCTTTACTTCTATTCCTCATCCGGCTCAGTCTCCTTCCCACCTTTCTATTCCATGTTCCAGGCCTTCCTCTTTCTTTTTTTCCTTCTTCCATCTATCAGAAGTTTTGTCCGTCACTCTTCTTGGTAGTGACAATTATACACGTACATTTCTGTGGGTACCTTTCCCTTCTTCTGCTGGTCTCAGTTTATGCTGACAGTCATTTTTCCACTTCTTCATCATAGACTCTTTCCTCACTCTTCTCATTTCCTTTTCTCCTCCTATCCTTCAACCCCATCTGTGATCTTTTTCACCCAGTCTGTGGTTGGTTATGATTGATGTGTCACACACCTTTCTACACTTCTCTTGGCTTTTCTTTCCTTTGTTTTCTCTTTACATCTTTTTTTGCACTTTCCATTCCTTGATCTTCCCTTTGACTCACCATCAGCCCCTCTTCTATTTGTTGATGTAGTGAGGACCTTTACTTGCTATATTCATGATTCAAGGCTAGTGTCCTTTTTCTTTGACTGTTTATATCTGTTTATCCATTCTTGGATGTTTCCTCTTCTCCTACCTTTCTTCTTTTACAGTGCTATGCAGTTGGAGGGGTGGGTGGGGATTCATTTTAGGATCTAAGTCCTTTCTCACACCCACTCAGTATTGGATACTTTTGGGTATTTTCTCGTCTCAACCGAATTCAGCCTTTCTTCTTCGCCTGTGAGCTATAATATATGTGGTCACCAGGTTTTCACTTCTCATTTTCTCCCTGCATGAGATGTTCTTTCCCTTTTGGGGACTCTGGATTCCCTAAACCCCCCTCATTCCTTAGGGGCATGCCCTCATGTATCTCTTATAGTGGACCTTGTGGACCCAAGATTTTTTTTCTTGGAGTTCTTTTGTTCTCATTTGTGACCCTCTTGTCAAGGAATTGTCACAGTGACTGAACCCTGCATGTACAACTTACCTGCATTTCCTTATCGCCTGTCAAACCAGATTTCTCCTTTCTTCAATGCTTCTGTCTGATTGAAGTACATTTTTCATTGAGGACAGAACTTCCTACATTTCAGATGCCAGAAAAAGAGTTCACTCCACACCATTCTTGCTCCTACTAATGATTTACTTGGTCTCATTCCACTCAGCTTATTCCATGGTCTTTTCCTGCTCCAGTAATTCTTGTAGCAACTGTTCCAGGGCTTATTTGTTTTGGGTATTAACCATAAACTTCTGTGCAATGTTCACAATCTTTGTCAGGAACTTCGATCTTGGTGGTAGGCCACTATTGTGTATTCTATCAACAGAAAACCTCTATGCCCCCAGATCTTCCATGGTTGGAAATGTCCATCTTGGAAAATTTAATGTTTTTCATTTAACTTTTCTTATCTAACCCAATAAATTTTTAATTTTTACATTTAAATTACTTTTGTTAAAAAGATGTAACAATAAATAGATAAAAAATATACATAATAAACAAGAAATGTAGCACTTACCTTAGTCTATTTGTACTCTAAAACATATTTCAGTAAGACTACTTTTCCCACTGTTGGCTATCCACAAAATAATATATGTAATTTTCATACATGCATTTTGGAACACAAAAAAAGTATATTAGGCACTAGAATAGAGTGACTTAAAAATATATAATTTATCTGGTTTTCTAAATAACATATAGATAGGTTAAAAAAAGTTCCATTACTACTTGGAGCAACATCTTTAATCTAAATACACCAAGTTCTTCCTGCAAACTATTGGCTTTGACAACTAAAACAAAACAGTCAATGATTTATGTAATTTAAAATATTCTCTTCATATTGGTGATAAAAATGTCCAGTAGCAATGTCAGGAACAATAAATAATTTCTTAAAAGAGAATATGGGAGGGGCTTGTCATCTGGAATGAACGAATATAGTGATATCCCAGTTACACAAGAAGATAACTGGTTGAAATTTGATATTTTGGTTTGTCAATATCTATAGTACGTGTTTCTAATTGGTTGAACTGTCTGGTACTTTTATAAGAGAGGAGAAAAATCTATAAATCAGAAGTTATAGCACCACCACATCATGTGGCTTGGTGATGCAGATTGAGATTTTATTGAAATGTTTCATTTTTAAGTTAAGAAAATAAGATTTAGATAATATAAAAATTTGAATTATAAACAAAATTTATATGTCAGATATATTAACATTATTCATAATAAAAGTTAATTTATTTTATTCTTGGTTGATAGTTTTCATTAGCTGTATGTTTTTGAAAAATAAAATTATTTACTAACACAGAACTATACACGTATAGTAAATTAAAACAGTGTTCTTCAAAAATTAAATTTCTGATTTAAACACTTAGTTTCGTAATTGTAGATTTTAGTAAAGTAACAGCCTGTATGACCTAGGAAGGATAATGAGAACTGGTCACTTATAACCAGAATTCCCATGTGATTATGATGTAGAGATTGTTATCCAATATAAGTAAATGAGCTTATTTGAAACTATGCCACTGAAAGGTAAGAAAAAGTTAGCACAAAATTTAGTTAAAAGCTGAATAATTCCAAACATTTTTGTTGTGAAACAATACAAAGATGTGCTTGTGAACAAAATATACACTAAGTTTTATACAATTTTATTATTGCAGGAGGAAGAAAAGTTCCTTGCAGAATTATTTGTTCAGTTGACAGATGAAACAACAGATGACGAAAAAAGGAAAGATCTTGTTTTATTTCTGAAAGAATTCTGCACTTTTTCCCAAACACTTCAACCTCAGAGTCGAGAAACTTTCTTCAAAGTATGTTTTCAAGCATAGATTACAATATTTGTGCATGTTATATATCAGATTATGTATTTAAACAAAAAACAAATTATATAGCTTTAAATAGAATTTCAGTGTTTGAAAAGGTAAAATAATATGTAACATCTTATTTCCAATAATAACAGTGTCATTGGTTTAATAATTTTTATAATTACGTGTTGTTGAATATGCTATTAAACTTGGGAAATTCAAATTTTTAGTCATTTTTTTCTGTGGCTAGAGTACTTGGGGATAAAACCTTATTGTAATTAACAGATTCCAACTTTTTAATGTCACCTATGGTTGTTCATGAGATTTACAATAATCCAAGGAGAAAGTGTGTTTGTGTGTGTGAGAGGGAAGAGGTAAAATGTTATTGCCTATTAAACCGTTCCAGTAACAATTGCAAATAAACCATGCTTAATGTCAAGCTTTTGAAACAACCACTGCTGTGCATTTTGATACTTGCATGTGACTACTGCAGTTTTTAACCAATCACAATCTAGTTCACTTATTTTCCTGATCTTACAAAACAGTATATTTACAGCATTGACTTTTTTTTGCACAAAAATGTCATTGAAGGTTTGCATGTTAGTTGGTAATAAATTTAGGTAGTACTGGTTGGAGAAAATACTGGAAGTTACATTTGTTGTTGGGACTAAACCATAAGTGGTGAAGTCAAAACTGAAAGAATTCATTAAAACTGCTGATTTACTAGGAATAGCTTTATGCACAATATGCAATGAACTTATAAACTATGCTTCACATATAATTGCTCTACAGTTTTGACACATGGCAAGGCCTGAATTTAATATCCATTTTTTGATATCCTGCTTAGCTAATAACAGTCAGAAATCTAGTAGCCTGTCAGAGATTTAGCCACATCTATGTATTATCATGTGACATTGAGATGAACTCTAAACTTGGAATACTTCCAAAAACTGCTGAATTGTATGTCTCACAACTTGACCAAAGTATTCAAAAGACTAAAAAACAAATGTGAAGCCCAATAAATTTATTTGTTATATTTTAATTCACATTATCTTTTAGTATTTCAGACAGCTGAATAATTCACAAGAATAGATTAGTTGCATCAGTTCTGCATATTCTTGAAAGCTAGTGTAAGTATAGGATCAATGTAATGAGCAGAAGGCATCTCAGAACACCATACATTCAAAAGATGATTTATTTTCACTAAATAAATCGTCATAGTTCTGTATCTTTAAATTTTTAGTCTTCAAAATGTTATATGTATACCAGTACTATTTCAATGCTAAACAGTTAGGCCAGTGATGTCAAGTGTCTTACTAACGTATTTTTCTTACCTGAGGATAATTTTCATAAAAATTATGTTGAATCCATGAAAACACAAGATTAAGTGGTGGAAGAGAGTTTGTGCTCAGAAATATAACAGACAATAATTCATGTTTTGAAATCAAATCTAGTATGTTTAAAAAAATATTTTTACCAAAGATTAATTAGCCTTACTAAGTCAACAGCTAATAAATAAGAGGATTTTTATAATTGATAAGAGTGACATCTAAGCTTATAGTAATTGCTTAAATTAATTTTCATGAAATTCCAGTGCCGCAAAGATATAGTAATGATCTCTAGGCTGCAGTGCCTGTGGCTGTCATGAAATTCTAGTTGACTGAAATTTTCACTAGCCAGTCTTGACTGCTCATATTGCTAAACTTGGACTAGTGAACTACTACTAATTTTAGGCCATTCATGAAGCTACTAAAAATAACATAGAATTGTCAGATAAGTTATGAAATGTGGATAATTTTCCTATAAAGTTTAAAGGTAGGGGAATGCATCATAGAGCTTCTAATTTTCAAAATGTTATGAGGGAGCATCTTTCTGGAACCCCTTAGCACAGGGCTTAATCCCTGAATAAATGAAAGTGCAAAATCTTGGCTTCATGCATCTATTTCTCAATCATCAAACTTGTAATTATTATTGTAAATTCTTGTTGAATTGTTGTCATGCTTAGTAAGTCTAATTATTTTTATGTACATAAGGATGCTAATTGCTAACTAGTTTCATCCTATGTTTTTGCTAATAATCTGCTGCCATCTTTAGGGAAATCCTAAGAAGGACTATTTCAGTCAAGAGGATAAAGTCCACAATTTAATCCCAGCTACTGTTAGCATAGAAATACTTATTCTTGGGAGTTCTCCAAAAATGGGAGCAGATTAGCATCTGATACATAGGATAAAACCAGTTAGTAATTAGTGTCTAATTATATGTATTTAAATGACTTAATAATTACTAGTTAGACTTAGGTGATCATACAGGCTACTAATAATGACAAGAATTGATATCTGATTGCCTTAACCTTCATTACAAGTATTTAGTTTTTGATATTTGTCACCTTGTGTGTGATTATTTGATCATTGTATATTTTCAGACATTGTTGAATCTTGGTGCTTTACAAGCATTAGAAATAACACTGGTAAGAATTGTTTGATATTTTCTAATTAATCTAAAATTCTCTCTCTCTCTCTGTTATGTATATGTTAACTTACTTTTGTAACATTTTATATGACCTATTTTTTACGATATATAATTTTTCTACTATGTGTCTAAATATAAGCCTTATACGTACAGTTACTCAGTTTTTTTTTGTTGTGTATGTAAATATCAGTTTCTTGTGTGTGATTATATTTACTGGAAGAAGTGTCATGTCTTTAATATAATTGCAAGTTTTAAGTAATTGTCTCTTTCTGTAGTTAAGTCGATCTTAAGTTTTGAGTTTTGGTTGGTAGCATATTTGAATTACCTAACTAATTATGAGAATTCTTTGAAAAAGAAATATTACCAAACTTGCTAGAAGTATAGTCCTTAGGTACAAATTGTGGAAATCATGTTTTTTGTTGCTTATTTGTTATAAAAGTTGAGTAAGTTAGATGTTTTGAATAATCATCTTACTATGATGGACGTAGTATGTATGTCGGTATCTATGTATGTAACCAAACCTCCTGTGCCATCTATTGAATGGCATCACAAACCAAAACCCATAAAAAAACTTCACACTTTGGAGATTCAAGATTCAGAGAATTAGAAAAATAACTGTAGTATGTGCAACAACCATTTCTTTATAATAGAAAACAATTTTAAATAAAAGTAATCACAAGAACATGACTGTATGTGAGGGTTTGGTTATATCTTTATTGATGTAATTTTTAAATGTAGTACTGAGAAACTAGTATTCTTCTAAATCTGTTACATATTTTTTTCAATAAATGGTATCATATTCAATATATAAAAACATTAAATTTATATCAGTAAAGTTTATGTTTGTTTGTTTGAAGTTAAGCACAAAGCTACACAATGGGCTATCTGTGCTCTGCCCTACACGGGTATTGAAACCCGGTTTCTAGCATTGTAAGTCCGCAGACATACCGCTGTGCCACTGGGGTGGGGGCATTTGGATTGTGCTCTTTAGTCATATGCAACTCACTGAATTAAAACGATTCAATATGCAGAGCTCAAAATTTGCAATCCAAACACTTTTCATCATGCAGTACTTCCCAGAAAAAAATCCTTTTTTAGTAAATGTTAATTTTTTCCAATTTTTTTTGAATGAGATACGAATACTATGATTAGTAATTACTAGCACAAACAGCTGCCTGTAGGCTGGTGTTTCTGCTAGTTATTCTTAATAGTGAAAGTGACACTTCATCCATTTAACTTATTCAAGATTAGAGCTGAGTAATTAGTGAAATTTGATAATCGATTAATAGTAAAGCTCATTAATCAGTTACATATAACTATTTGATTATTCTCACATGAGAATTGTAGTTGGAATAATCGAAAATAGCAATAATCAGAAATGCTAATTAATTGATTTAATCATAATTTCAACTAATCTTTTATTTTACATGAAACTAATTGGTATTAATAGGTAATCAAGTTAATTGCCCAGCTCTATTCAAAATCATCACAAGAAATTCCCCTTTTTTAGGTTATTACTGTTGATGATATTAAATAGCATGTATACTTCTACTATGTCATTTCCCAGCCAGTCTGACAAGCAGAAGGATATGACATATAGTGTAGGTAAATGTTGCAATCAAATTTTACTAACTTTTCTTTTTTTTCTTTTTGAGTAATAGATTTAAATAAATATAGCTGCAATAAGTATGTAGATATAGCTCTTTAATAACTTATGTAGGTTAGAAATATTTTCTGTTTCAGCCTATCTCCATATAGCTTTCTAATAAATGTTTTAATACTTTTGTATAATCTCTTTAGGGTATGGATGATCAAACTATCAAATCTGCATCAATTGATATTCTATCATACATAGTGGACTTTAGTCCACCAATGGTTCGTGAATATGTCCTTCAGCAGAGCAATCCTCAGGATGATGTAAGTATATGTTTCTAAGACAAAGGAATTCTTAATATATAATTTTCCAACTTAATACTTAAAACTATTGACTAGTAATACATTTTTCATTTTGGTATTCAATAGATTTATATTTTTGATGATGGATGAATATTTGTTCTCAGGAGTCAGTGTAATTCTGTAATGAAGATAGTCTAAAGTTTTTCATTACAATAAAAGATGAAAGAAATTTTTTTCATATACTTTCACATTTTAGCTGTTCATGTTAGTATGCATGTATTTCAACACTTAAAGTTAAAACTATTATTTTTCAAAAGGATGTTTTAGTATTGTTATCAGAACATAATATTTAACATGTCAAGAATTTTGTATTGAGTTTATCTTAAACTCTTCACAGTGTACTGGGTTTCATTTGTTTATTGCTAAATTTCTGAGATTACCTTTAAGTGAATCCATCCCTGAGAGACATTAAACTGAATTTAGATTAAGCCTTTTATTTTTTTCCTGTTTGCTTATGCTCTAATAACCAGATAATTTTAATTGGCATGCTTCTGATATGGAAGTCTCAAAAACCTTTGTATTTACACTTACACTAGTATGTGAAATGCATTGATATGAAATTTAAACCGGTAGGATATTATAATTTTGTAAAGCTTAATAACTGTTTGAAATAAGGTTTATTGGTTTTGTATCTGCAGATTATTGGTAAAGTAGTTTATTTTTTGACTAAAGTATCATTTCCTCTTTTTTTTAGGATCAACTGATAATCAACATCATTATAGAACAGATGATATGTGATCTCGACCCAGGTATTACTTTAATTGTGGCAACACTATTACTCCATGTAAGAGGGAAATGCAAGTTTTTCTTTTCCCTAACAAAAGTTTCTAAGTTGTCAACTCTTAATTTTCTTTAATGACATAGCACTTTAAATTATATAAGCAAAGACAAATTTTTATTTAGGGAGCTGAATATTTCTTGAAATTTTTATATGTTATGATAGGTAAATAGGCATATAATTCATATAAAGTTTGTATGATTTGACCATCAAACAAGAAACAAGTGTCACTTTGTTTAGAATTTCACTTAGAAAATAAAAATTTGGATAAATTTTTACAATTTACCAAAAATAAAGTTTATGAAGTTTGAGAAATCGTGTTTTGTCACCACTTTAAACATACTCAAAATATTATTTGTCTGCTATTGTTATATTTAGATCTTATTTATCAAGACTAAATTTCATAAGAATTTTTTAGTGGCTTAAATTATTTCTTGTATCAGTTATTGTTAACAAATAGTCTTGATTTTTATTAGCCACAAAAATATACTATTAAGTTTCCTTTTAAGCGAGAATACTTGGTTAATAATTTTGTGATTTTTTTTCTGATTTATGTACAGAAAACTAATAACTCCTCCTTTTTCAGATCTTGGAGGTGCAGTTCAACTTTCAGGAATCTTAAAGCTTCTTTTAGATCCTGACAACATGTTAGTTACTGTGAACGTAAGTATATTATTAGTTTATTCTAAATTGCGTCATAATCTTGGGTTAAAAGTTAATCATTAAATCATGAAGAAATTTTTGAAGGAAAAATGATAATTTAAATATGTTTAAAGAAGATGTTTTATTAACTTGTACCTTTATTAAATTCTCATTAATAATACGTTAAGTCTTTGTGGTATATCATTGATTTCATTATTTTTTGTTGATTTAAGTTGTTTTTTTGTAGATGTAGTGTTGAAGTTTCTTTTCATTTGTATTTCAAAATGTCTGCTTGTCTCACAGAGATGACAAATGATACATTGTAGTATGTAATTGTTTTTTCTGATTATGTGATGGTTTGATTTGTATACAAGTGATATGTATGTTTTGGTTAACAGAAGTATGTTTACTTAACGTCACTTTTAATTAATTGTTCTGTAATCCACTAATACTTATAACATCACAAATTCAAATTTTACAATTTATTTTTTCTATGTATTAACAACCTTTGAGTAAATAATATACCTTATAACGTATATCTGAACCTGTATAATAGGTAATGACCCTCACTATTTTGGTACCAATGGGTGAAATGAACCCATCAATCATGAATGAAATTGGACGTTTGATATTGGACTTAAGAATTATTTTGAAGTGACCTTTATTACACACACATAAATAAGTATATATATGTGTGTGTGTCTGTTTTTGGTTGTTTTTTTTTTAAATTAATGTTATTTTTTGTCTATGTTTTAGAAATCAGAAAAGACAGATTTTCTCAATTTCTTCTACAAACATTGCATGCATGTATTAATAGCACCAGTGTTAGCCAATACAGCAGGAGATAAACCAAGTAAAGGTAAGTCACCATAGAATACTTTTAAGTAAAAAAAAAAATTATTATTAACACTTTTGCTACAGACATCTTATATGTGTCACAAGGTTTTAATGAGTTTGATTCAAAATTGAATTAAATAATTTGTTATCACGATATGTAAATAAATATAGCATAAAACATAGCTAATAATCCAAATTTTTAATGGTATATAAGTTTTAGGTACTTGATTTTATAAGGCAATATGAAAACAAAATTCTGAATCTCCCTTAGTGTGAGAATTGTTACATTTTCTCTTTAGGCATTCCTTCCTCTTTAATTTATTTACCACTCTTCCAAGAATACAATATTTAATGTAAATTACTCATTATAATGTTGTCATGGCTCAGGAAAAGCATAATTTTTATAGCCCTCAATCTTATTTGGTTACAGAGCCATCAAATAGAAAATCAGACCCCTCTTGCCACTCCTACTTATCGGATCTCCTCTCTCAGGAATTTCCAGTAGTTCTCTCTGACATTCAATACTATATTATTTATAATAAATTGAAAGTCAAGGTTTTACTTTATCACATTATGTATTATATTATGTCATTTTCTGTACAGAGAATTGTCAATTGTGCTTCCAGTTTGAACTTTATTCCCACAGGAAGCACATCGACTAGCTCAGATGAATTTATAATGGCTTGTTGCATAGTTAAAGCCAAAATAATTGTGGTAGATTTGGGACATTGTCTGTTTTTTTGCTTGTTATTATTCTATCTTATTTGGTGCATTATTTAATTAAATAAAAAATTATTTAGTGCACTAGTATAAAAAGAGTAGAGTTAAGTGTCATCAACAGTCGACAGCAAAAAAAAGACCCAGGTAAGCACTTTATTTCTTTTCTTTCTTTTTTTCATATGTATACTTTATTTATTATTATAAAAGTTACTAAAATGTAGAAATTGGGATTTTTTTAGGTTAGATCAGATAAAAATAAAGAATAATGATAATAATAATTAAAATTTTTCATGAGGTACATTCTTGAGTAGCCTGTACATTATGTAATTCGATAGGTCAATTTGGAGTCATGAACTCGGCTGGTTTGACCAAGTCCATAGTGAGAAAGTTGATTTTTTTCTGAATACCATTTAGTATAAGAAAGCAAGATGTAGTATTCTGAAGTATGAAATATTTATAAGTTATTTGATATCCTTGTCTCATTGACTTATATTTATATTTATTTCTTAAGTTGAAATGTTTTGTTTTATAGTATCTGCTGTCAGAAATTTCTTTTTTCCAAGGAAACTATTTTTCTTTTTGGAGAATCTATAACTTACAAAAAATTGTAAAAAATTGTTTTGCAGCTTGTATATTACTTTTCTTGTAAAAAATTACTTAAAAAATACAC